GGGGGGGGGGGGGGGGGGGAACCCGTGCTTTGCACAATGTATGATTGTAGAAAATTTTCCTGTCCAAGTTATGCAACAATGGTTGCTTTCGGATTTGATGTCATCTTTTGAGCTTATTTGAATGAACAAGCTGAAAACACAATATACAACTATACGCTTTGACAAAATTGCATTATACATGCTGAATAATTTTATCTTTTCGGAGAGATATTCCTTGTTTTTTTCTGTAATGTGCATCAGGATATGTACAGTGTTTTAATCTGATCGAGGAAATTGCAGGTAAGGGATCTTACATTTTCATTTGAGATTAATCAAAGTGAAGTAAAGCGGTATATAGACATCCTGAAGGAAAGCCAAAGTCAGGATATCAGAGCTTGAACAATTCTCGATGAGTCCAAGGAAGTGCTGTCTTTTATCGTTGCACTTTCTGGATAATTTGTAACATATGCGTTCTGCTCTGTTTTCTTCCATTTTATTTTTCCAGTCCAACCCCCGAATTGTAAAGATGATCGTCTATTCACCGTATGGATGTCTGAGAATTTTGAGAGTTTCCAATATTTATATGATACGAGTGAATGCAGTTTTACTCGAGTGTTCTGTGGGCTTTAGAAGTATTTTGCACTGAAGTTAGGTAAAAATGATTAAGAAAGCAATTAACCGATGAATTGATTAAATTACAGGAGTTACAAATGATGTTCAATCATAGAGGACAACTGATTTTAATAGGACAAAGAAAAGTATTCTCTTCATCCTTTTGGATCAAAAAAGAAAAAAAAAAAATTCTCACCTATATTAAGAGTATAGCTTTTTCTGTTTATACTATAGTTGATCTAAAGAAAAAAGTGTTACTGTAGGTTGACAGTGACTTCGAAGATTCTGATTCCTTTTCTTATATTGCCCCAGTTATAGTAGTAGCTAATTGAGTTATGTGCCCATAGTATAAAAATATTTACACAATTAGGTCACTTAAAGCTAATTACAGGTAACTTCATTTAATAATCTTTTTTTGAACATAAAAAGCACGAACTTATATTACTTAAAACACATTACAAAACGCAGACATAGTCTTTGGGCATTACTATTGCCCATACTTGCTAAATAAGTACATACACTGGTAGAGATGTTCTTAACACTATTACATATGTCATGCTTGTTCCTCAACACTTCTTGTTCAACAAAATAAGGTGGACGAGCATGGTAGAAACACTTGGTAGAGGAGGGGTGCTTGATTGCTTCCTTTGCCATCAGGTGGGTCACTTGGTTACCTTCCCTAAAGTTATACTTCAGGGTTGGGAGCTTCAGTTGGTGCATTAACCATCTGCATTCAGAGACAATGTTATAGAAGTTATTACAATCATCATGCATAAGCTTAATGATATCCGTGCTATCAGTTTCGATTTCCAGATTTATGAAGTTCAATTGTTTTGCAATCTTTAGTCCCTATAGTAGAGCAATCAATTCTGCATGTGTGGGTGAAAATGCCTTGATTGCCTTGTGGAATCCCATGATCCAATCTCCGTTGCTGTTTCGGAATGTGCCACCAAGTCCTGCTGCATTGTTATTACTAGAAAAAGCACCATCACAGTTCAATTTAATCATGTTTTTAGGCGGTTTATGCCACTTGATTTCAGTTATAACTTTTTTGTTAGTGAAAGGGTTTTTTTCTGTGAAGAAGATAAATTTCCATGCAAGGTGAATAGTTTTATTAGCATCCAAATTGCAATTGAGGTTGTTCATGTTGTTGAAATTTCTGTTTTTCCATATTTCCCATATGGAGTATGGAAATAGGGTTTCCAACTAATCTTGTTTGAGTTATGGAAGATGAAAATATCCCTTAATTTTACTAACCAGTTCTCATCACTAACTATGTCTAGGGAAGTGAGGCCCATGTTTCTCCAAAATTGTTGCGAGATTGGGCAATCCAGAAAAATGTGATGGATGTCTTCCATTCCCATTCTGCAAACGGTACAAGTTGCATCAATGTTCATACCTATTTTGGCTAGGTAGGCTCGACAGGGAATACGATTATGCATGCATTTCCACATGAAAAATTTAATTTTGTTTGGGCAACGAAGGTCCCAGATCCATTTGAAGGAGTTGGATGTATGATTTGGTTTACTGAGAAGGTTATAGAAAGACTTAGTAGAGAAGATCCCATTTGAGTTAAGGCTCCAGCTAATTCTATCAATTTTTGATTCTTTGCAAGGGGTGGGAGTTAAGCCAAGGTTCTTGATTACCTCAGGAGGTAAATCAAACGAAAGGGCCTTTATCTCCCAATCATTGTTCTTGATTAGGCTTCCTATTGATAGGTTAAGGTCACTCTTGTTAAGATGGCCTTCAATGGAGCATCTTAGAGAGTTGGAATTGTATATCCACTTGTTGTACCAGATATTCAAATTGAAATTAGGCGACGGATGCCAAAGAATACCATTGTTACACACTTTCCAACCCTTGAGAATGGATTTCCAGATGAAGGAAGTGTTAGTGATAGATTTTGACTTAGCATATTTGGCCATAATGAGATGGCACCAAGGGGTGCTAGGGTTTTTTAAGAGTCTCCAGGCTAGGCTTGAAAGAAGCACCAAATTTTTCTCTTTTGCTTGGCGAATACCCAGCCCTCCTTCACTCCTTTCCCTAGTTACAGTATGCCAATTAATTAGATGGAGTTTTTTGGCAACACTAGAGGAACCCCAGATAAAATCCCTTTGAATTTTATCTATAGTTTTTAGGGTTTTGGGGGGAAGAAGGGTGTATTGCATTAAATGAGATGGAGTTGCTCCTAAAGTGCTAGATGCTAGAGTGGCTCGTCCAGCCATATTAAGAAAAGGGCATTTCCAGTGGGATAATTTAGAATGCAATTTGTCTAAGATGAACTGAAAATCTTTGGCTTTTGGAGAGTGGTTAAGAATTGAAAAACCAAGGTATTTTTCAAATTCATTAGTAGACTTTATTCCAAAAAGGGATGTTAGGAAATTTGAGTGGTCTTTTGGGCACTTTTTAGGGATGACAATTCTTGACTTAGACTTGTTAATGGCAAGACTAGATTCCATGCAGAAGAAGTCCATGCAATATTTGATGCAACGACTTGTCTTTTTGTTTGCTTTCCCCATTAGGGTTGTGTCATCCGCAAAAAAAATGTAGGATAGGGAAGGTCCCCTATGGCTAATGTGAATAGGATCCCAATTTCTAATATCAACTTGGTGATTGATTAATCTAGATAGGAGTTCAATGCATAAAATAAATTTATAAAGGGAAAGAGGGTCTCCTTGACAAATACCCCTACTAGGTTGGAAGAAGTTGGTTCTTGCTCCATTCACTAAGATCCCCATTGAGCTACTTGTTATGCAGTGCATAATGAGCCTAGATAACTTTGGAGGAAAATTGAAGTATTGAAGGGTCTTGTGAACAAAAGACCATTCTAGCCTATCAAACTCTTTCTCTAAATCCAATTTAACAATCAAATCAAAGTTGGCTTTTTTTGATCGACTAAGGTTATTCATAATCTCTTGAATTATGATGGCATTATCAATAGATCTTCTATTTTTAATGAAGCTGGATTGCATAGGACTAATAAGAGAGGGCAGGAAGGGCTTTATTCTATTAGCAATTATCTTAGTGATGATTTTATAAGCGGTCTTGCACAACCCAATAGGTCTAAAGTTTTTGAGGTTGTTAGCATTTGGGAATTTAGGAATGAGACAAATGAAGGTATCATTGATGCCACTAGGTAATGATTGAGTTTTGAAAACTTTGTGACAATAGGTAGTGATAGAGTTTCCTATTATATGCCAATATTTTTGGTAAAAAAAGGGGTGAATGCCATCCGGGGCCTGGAGCTTTGAATGGCTTAAAGGAAAAAATTGCCTTAGTGATTTCCATGTTGGTAAGGGGGTTATCCAGGCAGTTTAGATCTACCTTATTGGCACTCGAGAGATCTATAATTGAATTATTTTTTAGAGATGAAATTTTGGCTGTCCTAAATATTTCCATGAAGAAAGAAAGGGCGTGATCAAGAATTTGTTTGGGTTCAGAGATCCATTCCCCATTTTCTTTGGTGAAATACATAATGGCGTTACGACGCTTACCATTGGATGCCATAATGTGATAATATTTGGTGTTGGCATCACCTTCATAAGCCAGTTAATTCTAGATCTTAACTTCCAGAAATCATGCTCCATATAAAGAATATTGTTATATTCCAGTTGGAGGTTTGATTCAAGATCTTGTAAGAAGTCACTGTTTTGATAATGGGGAGAAGATTGGATTCCATTTAATCTAGATAAATTTTTTTTTCTTCTTTTTAAAAATATCCCCAAACGTAGTATTTTTCCATCTTATAACCTCATCTCTAAAATAATTTTGGGCATCAACAAAGTTATTTTTAGACCAACACTGTTTGATTACATTAATAAAATTCGGATGCCTACACCAAATTGTTTCCAACCGGAATGGTTTATTACTATGGTTTACATTCCTAGGGATTAGATTAATTAGTAAAGGATTGTAATCCGAATGGTTTTTGGTAGATGGATCACTACAGCTTTAGGGTATAAGGAAAGCCATTCTTTGTTAACAAAGATTCTATCTAGACGTTCCATGATTAAACCCTTTGATTTTTTCCTATGGTTAGACCATGTATACTTACACCCCTTGTAGCCTAGATCTAAAAGGTTACCCCGATTAATACTATTCCAAATCGAATTTCTACATCTACGGTTTATGGGGTTACCTACAAATTTGTCATATGAAGTGAGGATGTCATTAAAATCTCCCCCAAGTAACCAAGGTCCTTTAAAATTATTATTAATATTTTCTATGTTGTTCCATATTTCAAGTCGTTTATCCAGCTTAGTACTAGCATAAATGGAGGAAAAAAGCCAAGTAGTTTTAGAAGGAAGTACCTCAATTGTGGCATGAATCTCTTGATTATTTCTAACAAAGTCGTGAACCTTGACAACACCTGGCATCCCATAGGAGCACTATGCCACCAGATTGGCCTTCACTTGGAACCTCGATCATTTGGAAAAATCAAAATCACTTAAAAGGGACATGTGGTTTTCCATTCTTGTTTCTAAGAGTGTAACCATGCAAGGCCTATGAGTACCCAACATTTCACGAAAGTTAATCCTGAAATTGTCATTGTTACCTCCACGAATGTTCCATATAATTATATTAGTAGGCCTAAACATTGTTGCATGGTTGTTTGTTGGCCCATTCTCCCTCTGGGCTTGAAGCACTGGATTTCTCCTCAATGATGGGACTAAGATCATTGCATGGTTTCTCACCGCTGGGTCCTGAGGAGGCCTCACATCCATTGAGTATTTGTAGAGTGCTGGTGGGCAACTGAGTACATACCTCTTCTCTCTTTGGTCCCTGAATAGATATACTTTTACTTCGTTGAGTCTTGAAAATTCTAGGACTGGTCCTGACCCCAGCAGGTTTATTTCTTCTTCCTCCTCCATTTGGATATTTTCTTGTTCTGGTGCATTGGGAGGGGCCTGTGTCTGAGGAATGACTTGTGGAATCTGAGGTGTAGCAGGGGGATTGTGTGGGTGTGGTGGGTGTGCATGGGGTGGTGCTTGCATGTTGGA